TTGGAGAGAAGAAAAGGTTTGGAAGAGCTGCCATGGAGAATGAGATACTGAATCAAGTAGAGAAGAGTAGGATTGCCTTGCAACAATGAGAGCCCACTGGAGATTGAATGCAAGGTAATTTTGCTCATCATTAACTCTGTTTGCCTCAAAATTCCTCAACTGTAAAACGGAGATAGCAATATTATCCAGGGTTGTTGTGTGGATCCAATGGGATATTTGAAAAGTGGTTGGAACAGTGCCTGGCACATAGTAGACGCTTAAAAAATGCTTGTTTGCTTACCTTCTCTTCTTCTTTAGCAGATCGCCCCTACTTTCATTGCCACTTTGCCCCAATCATCAGTCTCTCCTATCCATTAGCTCCTTTCCTGAACCTACAAACATACTCATGTCTCCCCCATTCTTAAAAAATCCTCAGGGAAAATTAAAAAATTCCTGCAGGGAAAGATGATACTTGTAACTCGTGAGTCCTTTGTCAGTATTAGGGTAGTGGGAGGGAAAAAATCATATGTATGTATAGATAGATAGATGGATAGAGAGAGGGCATGGGGTGAGTTGAAGATGAAAGGGTGATATCTGGAAAATAAAATTAAGGGGTGAGAGAGGATTATACTGGGAGAAGGAGACAGGGAGAAGTAGAATTATCTCACATGAAACAGACAAGAAAAGGCTTTTACAGTGGAGGGGAAATGGGGGAAGGTGAGAGGGAGTGAGTGAATCTTATTCTCATAGGATTTGGCTTAAGGAGGGAATAACATACACAATGGGGTATCTGTCTTACCCTACAGGAAAATAAGGGGGGAAGGGGACAAGAGAGCAGGGGGATGATAGAGGGGAGGGCAGACTGGGGGAGGGATAATCAAAAGCAAACACTTCTGAGGAGGGACAGGGTCAAAAAAGAGAATAGAATAAATGGGGGGTAGGGTAGGATGAAGGGAAATATACCTAGTTTTTCACAACATGACAACTATGGAAATGTTTTGCATGACACACCCATAACCTGTATTGAGATGTTTGCCTTTTCAATGAGGGTGGGTGGCGAGGGAGGAAGGGAGAAAATTTGTAACCCACAGTTTTCAAAATACATGTTGAAAATAAAAAAATAAAAATTTAATTTAATTTAATTAAAATAAATAAATATTTTGCTCTTGAGAAAAAAATCCTCAGTTGGTCCTACCATCCCTGCCAGATATTATCTTGTATCTCTCCCCTCCTTCTCAGCTAAATTCCTTGAGGAAGCCATACACATGAGACTGAACAAGTTGTGGTATATGATTATGATGGAATACTGTTGTGCTATAAGAAATGATGAGCAGGATGCTCCTAGGAAAGCCTGGAAAGACTTTCATGGGCTGATGCAAAGTGAGATGTACTGTGTACAAAGTAATAACAATATTGAAGATGATGAGCTGTGAATGGCTTAGCTATTCTCAGCAATATAACGATCCAAGACAACTCTGAAGGACTTACGATGAAAAATGCTATCCATAGCCAGAGAAAGAACTGATGCGGTCTGAATGCAGATTGAAGCATCCTTTTAACTTTCTTTATTTTTCTTCAGGGTTTTTTTTGTCTTTTTTTTTTTAAACAACATGACTAATATGGAAATACGTTTTGCATGACTACACATGTATAACCTATGTCAAATTGCTTGCACTCTCAATGGAGCGGGGAGGGATGAAGGGAGAGAATTTGGAACCAAAAATCTGAAATGACTGTTAAAATTTTTTTTACATATAATCGGAGAAAAATAAGATACTAAATAAATTTTTTTAAAAGAAAAGAAAAAGGTTGGAAATTATAAAATTGTCCTTCTGTTTCTGGTCCTATTATGATGTATAGTGATTTGTTAGTTTCCCTAGGAAGCCTTGAATTCAGGAATTGGACTCAGCCTTGGAAGTGTCTTACTCCCGTTTGAGAAGTTCAGGAGTGTGAAATTCATAGACAACACATTCCCTGGGAGGAACTATGATGAAAGCAAAGACTTCAGTTCCAAGAAAATGTGTGATTAGATGGGGAGATATAACCCTAATGGATGAATCCATTAACTAGTTGACTAATTAGATACTAATTAGTTAACTAACTAGTATCCTAAACTAACCCCCTTTCATGATTCTGGTTAAATATCCCTTCTGATATTGAGTAGAAGACAAATGATGGTTAGATGAGAAATAAATCATCTATATCATGTATAAGGTACAAGTGAAATGGGTTTTCTTTTGGTCTTCAGCTGAATTAAGGAAAGGTAGGAGAGAAACCAAAAAGAGAATATTTCATAGCTCTTGAGCTCAAAGGGACATCAAAGGGCATCGTGTCCAACCTCTTCATTTTATAGATGAGGAAACTAAGGCCCATAGAAGTGAATGACCTGTTTGAGGTCACACAATAGGGGCAGAGCCAGGATTCAAACTAAGGTCTTATGACACCATATCACAAAAAAACCCTCTTTTTCCTTGCATCAAACACTTAAGTTTTTAATATTTTTCCCATTGGCCAGAGCCTCTCTGACTTCCTGTTTTCAAGAGACAATGTTAAAGTATTAAGTCTACGCATGGGTAATATGTTAGAATTGTGAGAACTTTGTGAAATTACTCAGTATCTCCAAACGTCATGTATCAGTGGGAAAAGCCCTGAGTTAAGAATCAGAGCCCAAGCTCTCTCACTTACTGCTGGTGTGAGCCAGAGGAAGTAACTTTATCTGTCTCAAGCTCAGTAAAATTTGGGGATTGGATGAAGTCCCTTGCAGTTCTAAATGTATGGTCCTAAATCACGTCCCTGCTCTGGGACCCAGTTTCTCTTCTGTACAGTGAGAGTCTCAGACTAAACAATCCGTAAGCCCTCTCCAGTTCTAAACACCTACTTTAAAGGGCAGGTTTGATTTTGTGGTCCAAACTAAACATCTATCTGGGTTTTATCATCTGGAAGGTGCTATGGAAACCAGTTAGATGGAATAAACACTATTACCCTGTCCCCCAGTGGTAGTAGGTTTGTAACTAAAAGATGACTTGACCATCGCTGAAGATCTGTTTCACTTGCCAACATCTTCCTAAAATGGACTTTCAGTTGGAATTGCTAAAGCAATGTTAGGGACAGCTAGGAGGCGCCATAGTGCGTAGAATGCTGGCCCTGGAGTCAGGAAGACTCATCTTCATGAGTTCAAATCTGGCCTCAGATACTTACTAGCTGTGTGACCCTGGGCAAGTCACTTCACCCTGTTTGCCTCAGTTTCCTCATCTGTAAAATGAGCTGGAGAAGGAAATGGCAAACCACTGTAGTATCTTTGCCGAGAAAACTCTAGATGGGCTCACAAAGAGTGGGACATGTTTGAAAACAACTGAACAGGGGGGCAGCTAGGTAGTGTAGTGGATAGAGCACCGGCCCTGGATTCAGGAGAACCTGAGTTCAAATTCAGCCTCAGACACATGACGCTTACTAGCTGTGTGACCCTGGGCAAGTCACTTAACCCTGATTGCCTCACCAAAAAGCAAAAAACAAAAACAAAAAAAGTACTCAAGAAAACTGGGGTCTCTCCTTTCAAAGAGTTTACAAATCTATGTATTACTCTAGGGGTAATTTTGGGAAGGAGAGTCAGAGAGAGAAAGCTAGTGACCCCACAAGAGAGTAGAGGCCCAGTTCCAGCACATTCCCAAGCTCTGGTCACGAATGTCAGGCTCCAGACAATCTAGTTGTATGAGTTACAGTATGGTCTGTAAGCTATTGTGCAGTGACCTATAGGTAAAGGAGGGCATGCTTTAAAAACAAATAAGGCAAAAGCCTGGCACTGACAGGGGACTGGGGAAAGGACCAGACCGAACAGGAAGGAAAGAAGGAAACAGGCATTTATTTAGTACCTGCTGTATGCTAGGTAATGTGCTAAGAGCCTTACAAATATCATCTCATTGGATCCTTACAACAAGCCTTTGAGGTAGGCACTATTTCTATCTCCATTTCACAGTTAAGGAAGCTGAGTTTAAGTGACTTGCCCAGGGTCACACAGCTACTAAGTGTCTGAGGTCAGAGTTGAACTCAAGCCCTCTAGCCACCGAGCTACCTGACTGTCCTGATTCAAGCTAATTGGGACCTAGCTATGTAGAAAGCTAGCCTTGAAGCCAGGAAGACCTGGATTCAAATCCTCACTGTCAAATATTGACTTGTCATCCTAAGCAGCCCTTCCTAGATCACTGCCTTAAATGGTGGAGGGGCTTGCATAACTCAGTATGGACAGGCCACAGTGGAGAGTTCTGACAAAAGGTGATTCCCCTGGAGAAGGACACGGCAAACCACTCCAGTATCTTTGCCAAGAAAACTGTACCAACAGCATTAAAATGCACGACGTTGGAATCTGAGCCCCTCGTGTCGAGGGCCTGGCGTGCTGTGATCCCTAAAGAGTCAGATGTGGCTGAATAATAATCCCGGGCAAATCTCAACTTCCAGTGTCCTAGACAGCTCTTTATGGTTAAGTGGCGGAGGAAGGGTTTCCTCACCTGAGAATTCCCTATGCCAATGAAATCCCAATCCCAGTCCTAAGGTGCAAGTCCCCGTGGGCAGTGGAGATCAAAAAAATAATGACTGCCTGACCCTGGGTAAGTCACTTAACCCTGATTGCCTCTCCAAAAAAATGAAAAAGAAAAAAAGTAACGGAGAGGATGATCCCTGCCTTTGAAGAGCGTATATGTGGGGGAGAAAGGACATGGACCCAGACAAGCGTAATGTAGGGTTGAGTGTCATAGAGCTAAAGAAATTTCCAGACAAAGTGTTCTAGGAAAACACAAGATAGGAGAGAACACGTTCATTAAGAGGATCCAGGAGAGCTTCAGGGAAGAGCTGCTTAAAGTGTCAGACAATACATGGTACTATATTTTGGCGGGGAAAGAGGCTTCATTGAGATAAGACACTCTCTGCTAGTTTGGGATAAGAAATGCCCTAAGGAATGACCGTCCCCAATCACTACCACCAAGGCTAGTCTACAAGGTACCTAGAAGGGTTAGCATAACAGTACTCACCATGAAATCAGTGGGCATCTTGTTTGGTCAGGCGGAGACTTGTCTTTAGAAGGATAGCACCCCAAAAAACAACAACACAGGAGAAAAAAGCAATGAGAGAATTCACAAAAGATCAAGAAAAACTCCACACCAACCAGTCAGGTTAAATTTTGAAATCTAGACACTGCCCAATCTCTTAGACCTAGACCTTCCCCTATGGGCACTGGATGGAAGTTCTTTCAGGCCGCAAATACAAAAATGGAAAAAAAAAAACAAAAACAAAAACCCTAGCACAGCTTAGGCATTGAAGCAGAGGGAGAGGCAGTTGGCTGCCTCCGAATCTGCTGCTGTGGATTAGCCCAGTTTACAAAGGCACAGATGTACAGCTAGCAATGAAACACCCAGCTGTGCTAGGTGACCCATAGAGAAGAAGATCAACCAGGGAAGGGAAGCTGTGCTTTGCCTTGCTGGAGTTGTGTGTGTGTGTGTGTGTGTCTGTGTGTGTGTGTGTGTGTGTGTGTGTGTGTGTGTGTGTGTGTAACCCCATTTATTTACCTGAGTCTGGCTTCCGGTTGCAGTCAGTTTTGCTGAATCTCTTTCCCCCCATTGTCTGTTTGAATAAATCCTGAGACTGAAACAAGTGGTCCAGAAAGAGCTGTGTTTTCCTAAGGGAAACTTCTAGAACCTAATTATCCTATTATGAAATAATTAATAGAGAGGCCTAAGAAAAAGAATGGGATAGACTCGAACCCTCACCTTCAATCAGATGTTTCTACCTGGAATTAGGTAGCCCCTCGATTACACTAGCTTTTGTATTTATCTTTAATAAGCCTGGAACAACATTATTCTAGTTCTCTTCCATGCTCTTGTGGGACCCATCTGCACAATAAAAGAAAGTCCCTTCTTTTTCTTCTCCCAATATTTCTTCTCTTCATAGTCTTCATTCATTCATTCATTCATTTATGGTTTTCTTCTTTTCCCTTTCCTTGTTCAGTCCTCGTTTTTTAAAATTCAAAAACATTTAAGTGCCTTCTATATGGAGAACACTGTGCTAGGTACTACGAAAGTTGTGTTTGTTAAATGAAAAATGAATAAATGAGGACTAGAAAGAGGAGGAAAAGAAAGAAGGAGGAGGAAGAAAAAGAGGAAGAACAGAGGGAAGAAGGATAAGAGAGGGCTTTGGGGTACAAAAGTATCATTTCTACTTTAAGCTGTAAAGTGCCCAGTCTCAGCTTGAAAGGATTTTGCTGTTCACTCATGGCAGTCGTGTCAGGCTCTTGGTGACCCCATTTGGGGTTTTCTTGGCAGAGATACTGGAGTACTTTGTCATTTCCTTCTCCAGCTCATTTTAGAGATGAGGAAACTGGGTCCAACCCTGAGCAAGCTAAGAGTTCTTTCGAGATTGCTATTGGAAATGGAAATTAAAACAACCAAGAGGTATCACCTCAAACACAGTGAATTGAAAAGATGACATGAGATAGAAATAGTCAGGGGCACTCTGACTGTAGGAAGGTTGACTCACTGCTGATGAAGCCGTGAATTAGTCCAACCTTTCTGGAAAGCGATTTGGGATTTTTGCTTTGAAAGGAGTGGGAGTGGGCAGCTAAGTGGTACAGTGGATAGAGCTCTGGCCTTGGAGTCAAGAGGACCTGAGTTCAAATCCAGCCTGAGACACTTGACACTTACTAGCTGTGTGACCTTGGGCAAGTCACTTAACCCCCATTGCCTCACCAAAAAGCAAAACAATAAAAGGAGTGGGAGTGGAGGCTAAAATGTCCATGCTCTTTTATCTACTGCTAGGCATATATTCTAAGAAGGTCAAGGACAGAATTTGCTCCAAAATATATACCAGAATATTCATGGCCACATTATTTTTGTGGTCACAAAGAACTGGAAACAAAGTGGGTGCCCATTATTTGGGGAATGAGTAAGTACACTGTGGTACATGGAAGGAAGTAATGGAGTGTTATTGTGTCATAAGAACTGATAAATATAAGGAATTCAGAGGAAAATGGAAAGATTTACATCAATCGATGCAGCATGAAATAAACCAAACCAGGAAAGCAATAACATAATAAACAATGTATTATGTAGATGTAGTAAAAGAACAGTAAGACAAAACTGAATCCTATGCAATTATAATGGACAAACCCCAGGGTAGAGATGAGAAAATGCACTTCTTTCACTGGAGAGATGGGATACTATAGCTAGAGAAGGATGCTTATGCTGTTGAACATGGTTGACACGTCCACTGGCTTTTCTGAGCTTTTTTTAAGTATCTTTGTGGAAGGGGAAGGCTCGCTGGTTAGAAGGGAGGAGTATACTCTGAAATAAGTGAAACATAAAACCAAAAGGTTTTTACGTAATTTTTAAATGATTTTTACTAAAGAATCACTATGGATGGAAGCTATGTCTGCCATGCTAGTTAATCAAACATTACTCTAAGATACAGACCAATTTTCCTTTAGTAATGAAATGCTAAATTCTTTAAATGTTTGAGTGTGCCAGTATGCAAGTTTCTGAGATGGCTTTCAAATTTCCTTTTATTTTTCCTTTGAAATATGTTAAATGGAGAGAACAAATTTTCCACGGCATATAGCAGTTGGAGGGTAAAAGAACTACGCTATGTGTCCGTTGAAAGTTAAACCAGTGTTGATTTTCAGACAAAACCCGTGTCCAGTGACTCCACCAATCTCTTCCCCCATCAACATAAGGGGACCTCATTGTGACTGTCAAAACAGTCCTACATTGGCACAGCTTCGTGGTGTTCTTGTTTGCTGCACCTGGGCTATGATGCGAGGCATCTCTGTTTACAAGGAACATACTCATTTTTTATGTTTCCCCCCAAGTACAAAAGGTGGTGGTTGGAGAGACTTAACTAGAGGGACCATGGAGGTTTTCTGGTCAAGCCATAAATGGCAGCATTTTAGTGGAAGTCACCATCGTCTAATCACTTGGAATTGTGTTTACTATTTGTGTTTGGAATTGCCTTTGCCAACCCAGCCCAGGTGTTCAACCTAGGATCATAGATTTAGTCTTTGAAGGGGCCCCAGAGTTCACCTAGTCCAAACCCCACCTTATTTTACAGATTAGGAAATTAAAGTAAACGAGTAATTGAAGCCAGCATTTGAACCCACGTCTGTCAAATCCAAAGCCTGTGCTCCTTACACAAAGCAACACTCACTCAACTGAAGTCATTCAACAAACATTAATTGGATGTGAGCAGGCTAGCTGAGCAAGGCAGAATGGTGTGGTGTGTACAGAGCAGTCCTAAAGAGTTGGGTTGACTCTGGCCTTGGAGTCAGGAGGACCTGAGTTCAAATCCAGCCTCAGACACTTAACACTTACCAGCTGTGTGTCCACACACACACACACACACACACACACACACACACACACACACACACACACACACACACACACACGTGTTTCCCCTGGACCTCCCCATAGCTTAAGGACTACAGTCAGGAAGAAAGAGGGGATACAAGCAGAAAGAGTCTGATCCAGCCTTTGCTGTAAAACCACCCGGAGTACAAGGCTCTGAGTTCAGGCTGTCCTGACTGGTCATCAGCATTTGTGGTCGCACAACGATTGTAGGTGCTTTCTTAGCCCTGGATCTCAAAGTTATTTGACTTATGACTGCCTGCTATGGAATGATCCTGAAAGTGAGCTCACTTGCAGGATCCTAGGATTACTGGGGACCTTAGAGGCATGTATTTCAAACTCTTCATGTTGACAGAGGCACAGAGGTATTAAGTGACTTGCTAAAAGTTACACAGCTAGAAAATGAGAGAGCCAGAATCCGAACCCGAAGCCTTTGACTTCAAGTCCAGTGTTCTTTACAATGCATGATGTTGCCACTTTTATACTGGGCTCTGTTCACTTACTGTAGAGTGCATTATATGCTGGGGAAGTATGCTAAATAGCGAATCTTTTTAAAAATAAAATATATTTTAAAAGAAAAGTCAGGGCATTTAAAGCAAAAAATCTCTCTCCACTCTGAACTACAAGGCATTTTGCCTGTAGTTACTTCCCTTACAGTATTTATCTCATTATACCTTGTCTGAACGTCCTTTCTGGACATGTCATGTGTTTCCCATTAAATGATGTGCTCTCCGAGGGCCAGAGCTCTCTTGGTGTCTGCCACAGGGCCTTCTAGCCTGGTCCCTTGCACAGAGTAGGAATTGTTAAATGAAGAGCGGTCTGGGATTGAACTCAAAGTGGAAAATTCTGGAAGGTAGATGAAGTAGGAGAAAGGAGAAGAGAAAGACACTTACCGGCCCTTCGATGCAACTCCAGCTGAGACAGTTTGCCTGCTGTAGGTACGGCAGGTGAGGTGATAGGCTCCACCAGTTCTCGTCTCTGCCCACTCCTCACCTTTGGCTCTCCTCCTTCTGCTGATCCACCATCTCTGTGAGCTGTGGTGTGGCAGCTGCCTGCAAAAGGCATGGGGGAAAAAACCCCAAAGCCATCTCCTCTCATTTACCTGTCACTGGTGGGAAAGAGAGAGAGAGAGAGAGAGAGACTGTGCTTAAGTCTGCATTCAGACAATATCAGTTCTTTCTCTGGAGGTGGAGAGCTTTTCTCACAATGAGTCCTTTGGGATTGTCTTGAGTCATTGCGTTGCTGAGAATAGCTAAATGATTCACAGTTCTTCCTTGTGCGATATCACTGTTACCATGTACGATGTTCTCCTGGTTCTGCTCACTGCGCTTAATACAGTCATTTTGTAGTACATTGATAGCTGGGGATGTGTGGTTTGGGAAGGGCCTCATGTGCTAGATGAGATCTGAACAGGGTTTTGTGAGGAGCTACGAGTTATAAAATGGGACGGTAAGGAGGGACTGCTTTCCAGGCATGGGGTATGCCCATGCAAAGCCATGTTAGAGAGATGGAAGGACATGGAGGAGGAGCAGCAAGTGGGCCAGTTTGATGGAGACCGTCGTGTGTGAAAGGAAGTCTATAAATCTGGAAGGATTAGACTGGAGCCAGATTGTGATGGACTTCATTTTTTTTTTACTTTTAATTTTTTTATTTTATTTTACCTGAATTACATGTAAACAAAAAAAAATTAACATTCTTTTTTAAAATTTTGACTTCCAAATTCTCTCCTTCCTTCTTTCCCTAATCCCTTCCTTCAGAAGGCATGCAATTTGATATAGGTTATGCATGTACAGTTGTGCAAAATATTTTCATTTTAGCCATGTTGCAAAAGAAAACACAGACAAAAAAAAAACCAAGCCCATGAATAATAAAGTAGAAAAAGCACATGCTTTAATCTGCATTCAGACGCCATCCATTCGTTATCTGAAGGTAGATAGTATTTTTCATCATAA